ATACACATTTGTCTCAACACACTTTAATCACATTTATTGGGTTAGACACTTTCTGTTTATAACCTTATTGGTCACTAGAAGTTCTTGGACAATAAAAACAGCATGACGTAATGATTCAGGCAAACTAGACAAACATGATCGACAGCCTCGATGCAAGAAGCGTTATTTATTTTCACATTTGAGCATTTCTTGAGTTCAAGGGCGTCAGAAGCATCCGTAATGTGGGGGGGGGGACACAATGATGTGTGTAGGTGTGTGTGTGTGTGTGCGTGCGCCTGTGCATGCGTGTGCGCAAAGAAGTGTACACTAATGTGCAAAAACAAAAGCAGCATTTCACCTGGATTTCCTTTAATTTCACACATTTAAAGCATGTTTCTCTTCAAGTGTGTGTAAATTCAGCTGAGGGTTTTAAAGACATTTTAACTTTAATACACTTTAATACAGAGCGTCAGGTCGGCACTATTTGTCTTTATAGAGAAATAAAAAACATCACCACTAGACTTTTTTTATTTGTGTTCAACACTACTCATCTAAATGATGTTTCTCATGAAGCTTGAGGACAATAAGGCATAGGTGTCGCAACCATTATATGTGAAGGAGACAAGTCCCCCCCCCCACATTTAAAAAACGTTCATTTGGACCCCCCCCACTTTTACTATAAAACATTAGTTCAGGCGGCGCAGTTTCTCTTTCTTCATGAACAAATGCATTCCACTTGATTATTAGGAGAATACTCAAGCTACTTAAACTCCACTCCAGGTTTTCCTGGTTACCTCCAACTCTCCACCGTCTCTTCCTGCCTCTTGCCTGGCAGAAAACGAGCACAGGTGGAGGTACCTGTGTTACTCGCTTGCCAGTTTAGCAAGCTTAGTGTGGGCAGTTGTTGACCAGGGGGTTGACCATCAACATATATTCATGTTAGGAGGATGCTTGAGAGGAGCTACATCTGTAGCATGTTAGCAGTAACTGTGACGCTGCAGGTGTAAGAGACGCTGTGTGTTCAGGTGCATTAAAGTTGAAATGTCTTTAAAACCTCACACCTTATTGTCCTCAAGCTTTGTGAGAAACATCATTTAGATGAGTCGTGTTGAACACAAGTAAAAAAAGTCCAGTGATGATGTTTTTTATTTCTCTATAAAGACAAATAGTGCTGATCTGACGCTCTGTATTAAAGTGTATTAAAGTTAAAATGTCTCTAAAACCCACAGATGAATTTACACAAACTTGGTGAGAAACATGATTTAAATGTGTGGAATTAAAGGAAATCTATGTGAAATGCTGCTTTTTTGTTCACTAGCGAACACCTTTTTTTACGTGCGCACACATGTGCACGCACACGCACACACATCTACACACATCATTGTGTCCCCCCACATTACGGATGCTTCTGACGCCCTTGAGTGGGGTTTTAAAGACATTTCAATTTTAATGCACCTGAACACACCTCATCTCTTACACCTGCAGCGTTTCACAGTGTCAAAGTTACAGCTAAGCTAAGATGCTACAGACGTAGCGCTCCTCTCAAGCATCCTCCTAACCATGTATATGTTTATGATCAACCCCCCTGGTCAACAACTGCCCGCACTAAGCTCGCTTAACTGGCAAGCGAGCAACACAGAAGTATCTCCATCTCCTCCACCTGTGCGTGTTTTCTGCTGAAGCAGGAAACTCAGCACCTGCTGCCTGCACAGTTTCTGCTCTAGAGTTGGAGGTAACCTGGAGGTAACCAGGAAAACCTGGAGTGGAGTTTTAGTGACTTGAGTATTCTCCTATTAATCAAGTGGAATGGATTCGTTCACGAAGAAAGAGAAACTGCGCCACCTGAACTAATGTTTCATAGTAACAGTGTGTGTGTGTGTGTGTGTGTGTGTGTGTGTGTGTGTGGGGGGTCCAAATAAAAAAAAAATTAATGTGGGGGGGACTTGTCCCCTTCACATACAATGGTTGCGACGTCTATGCTTGAGTTCCATTTATCACGTCAGCAAGACTGACACTCACGGAGAGAATATCGCAAGTTTTTTGGGGAAAAATAAATAAAAGGTAAATGGAGACAGACCTTCGCTATAATCTGGATCAAACAGTCATCTTGAGTCAGGGCTGGGCCATATCATATTGTTTACGATAATACAAGTAAAAAAAAAACTTGCCCAGGAAAATAAATTATATCATCATATGCTAATTTAATGATCTAAACACGTCAGGGTTTCCCCTACCATTATACAAGTGGGGCGCCCTGCCCCGTTAACAGAACTGAATGTGCCTAATTACCGAACCGAACTGCACACCCCCCACCACCCCATCGGTACTGGCATAACGCTAAGCTAGCCACACGCAATATAATAATAAAAAGCAAAAGGCATTGTCATTCCCCGATCAGTTACGGAAGCACGATCCGTAGTGTAGCTCATTTGCGCATGTGGTAAAAGGAATACTTCCGGGTCACACGGATCATTGTTGAATATGCCAGATTAAGGAAAATGTACTGATATAATTCTGTTTATGAATAAGAACTGTCTTAATTTACTTAGAAAAGTATGTGCTCTATCTCCGCCAATTTTCATGTTGCTAATTTATGCCACTCGTATTTCCGTTAAAATCATTGACATATTTATGTCATGGTTAAAATGATATGCAGCTTCACCACTGAGGGGCGCTGTTTAACTATGGAAATAATTCATTCTGTCTCTTGCAGGGTTTTTCTCATTCAGCCAAGGCTGGGTGTCATGTCTAATGTGTAGCATATCATCGTAACCAATGATTTGTAACGGAAATACGAGTGGCGTAAATTAGCTACATCAAAATCGTGGGAGATAGAGCACGTACTTTTCTAAGTAAATTAAGACAGTTTTTATTCATAAACAACGTAGAGCTGTGCGACCCAGAAGTACACTACGGATCGTGCTTCTGTAACCGATAAGGGAATGACAGGCATCGCTTCTGCTGCCTCTTCCCTCATGCTGAGCCCCCCTCCCCCCACTCTAAACTGCCGGTACAAACACGCGCAGGTCTGTCTCTTGAGTTCCACAGTCCATGGACCAAGAAAAGAGTCAGGTGATGAAAGACAAAGCATCAGAGAAATTAATCATTCCTGCGAGGAAGCTGAAACACCACAAGCTTCAGGGTCAGCTGGACGCCTTGTTACAAGTTTTGGAAGTTATAGCTCATTTAAAGGCAACATATATTTTGTTGTATGTTACATTTATGCTCAACAGATCTTAAGCTTCATTTTATTTAGTTATTTTGGGAAACTGCACCTGCACTTTAGTTTTGTAGTGGATTTTGTTGATCTATATTTTGTGCAGACTTTTTCAATCTAAATAACAGAAGGATCATTTTTATTTTTATACTTTGAGACTGAACACTTTACTAAATAAAGTCATTTCAGTAAAATTAACCCTTGTTGGGGTTTTTTGTTTGTTTTTATATAATACTGCAAAGCAACATGCTAAATTACTTTTGTCAAATGAATTACTGATTTCTGTTTTTTTGTTATATCACAAAATGTATCGTTATCGTCAGAATGTTCTGAAATATCACAATATTATTTTAAGCCATATCACCCATCCCTAGTCTTTAGGTGTTAATCTGGTTAAATTTCGAAGAACTGAAACAGCGACCCCTCCCGTGAAAACACACTGACAGGCTGTGCGCGCTCCCGCAGCGCTGATCACTTTTTGGCATAACACCGGTACCTTCTTCCATGTTTCTGTCCTGCTGCTCAGTTTCTGATAGGGTTCACGTGAGCGCTGCACGGCAGCAGCTCTACAAAACAAAGGCTCTCATTGATTGAGATGTGCGATGATGCTCGTCCATGTCCTGTAGTGATCAACATCCTGCCCCCGTGACCAACATGTCTGTCTGTGTTCACAGCCACTGAGCAACTGCTAACAGCGTTAATGCATAAAAAAACTGTTGCTGTTAATCACTGGCCACGTTAACGCTATAATAATGCGTTAACATGCCCAACACTAAGTTAAACATTTTATTTTTTATTTATTTAAGCTTTATATACAGATGGTCTCATTGAGTCACAAGGACTCATTTTCAAAAGAGACCTGTTTTAGACAGACAACATAGTCTTTTAGCTGAATCAAATTTCAGTAGTCAAGCGTCAATACAAAAAGAAATCCTGGCAAATATGTTATAATAATTTTTTAATTATTGTCCAGTCTCCAATGATTTACTCAGGCAAGTTGTGAAGCACTTGGGTCTAACAGAAACCTGCTACTGTTTCAATTGTTTCCAAGACCAGCATGTTCTCAACCATAAATGAATTATGTTTTAATAACCATTCAGTTAACATTTTGAGTGCCACGATACAACTCAGTTGGAAAATCACAGTAACATCTGCAAAAGTTGTTGGAAATTATTTTTAAATTCAGCCACTCCAGATACCACTCACATAAAACTTTGATCAAATAAATAACAATATTTCTGCTGAAACTTTTCCATCTGTTGAAGTAGAGAAACGTTTTATTAAACTAAATTAGTTTTTATTAGCCCAGTAACAGTATGAGTGTTCACTCCATGCAGTTTATAAATGGACCAACCTTTACCTACACACACAGCATTAATCTTTGCAATCATTAGATGCAAACCTTTGTGACAACAGATATATCTGTTTAATGGTATGAGCATGTTGGCATCTTGTTGATGCACAATCTACAATTGGGCTTTTGCTGATCCCTTTGAAAATCAGGTTGTGTTGTTGTCCCAGAATGGTAGAGTTCATACTGAACATTATTTGTATTGATGTCCCATAATATTGAACATACATTTTATGAGAACTAAGTAGTGCCAAGTGATCAACTTATGTAACTCTTTTATTTGGATTTTAACTACAGGATATATAACATTGGAGGGGGAGCAAGCCAACAAAGAAAACCGATCTTAAATGACTTTCACCACCTTAAGTTTTTCAAACTGAAATGACCAGAGAGTATTGAAATATATATTTTTTTGACGTTCCTCCTAATTGCTTTCTCTGGTTCTCTTTCTAGCTTTTATGGACAGTTGTGGCTGAGGTTTCAGCCAGTGTTTTAACCATAACCAGCACAGATGACCAGCCCCTACTTTCTCCACGACACTATCAGCACATCGACAGAGACTCTGGCACCCAGCTGGTATGTGACAAGTGCCCAGCAGGCACCTATGTGTCTGTCCATTGCTCTCTAACGTCTGTGAGGGAATGCAGTCCCTGCCCCGAGGGTACCTTCACCCGTGGCGAAAACGGTGTTGAGCAATGCCATCGTTGCCGTGCTCCTTGTCCTGTGGGCTTTATCAAAAAAGTGCCATGCACGGCCACCCAAGATCGTGTCTGCACCTGTCCGCCCAACAGCTTCTTGTCACAGGACAGTGCCACAAAGTGCAAGCCCCACTCCCTGTGCCCTCAAGGTACCAGGGTGAAGAGACGGGGCACTGAAACAGAGGATACCATCTGTAAGCTGTGCAGCAAAGGGACATTTTCAAATGTGAAGTCCAGTGTAGCTAGGTGTCAAAATCACACCAACTGCCAAGCTCGAGGGCTGGTGCTACTGAAACAAGGGACAAGAGAGACAGATAATGTTTGTGGACTACCATTTACCACCCTGCCATATGTCTCCCCCACCACTCCACTGGGGCCTACACAGGCTGGAAGTGTTCGAGAAACCATTATTTCTTCTATCTTCCCATCACTGACTGAACTTGCACGTAAAGGTGAGGATAGAACTGTACCTTTAATCTGATGTTTATGGTTTTTTTCTTGAAGTTGTTTGATTTATGAATTTTATGTAGCTTTCAAGAAAATGTCTTGGTTTAGTTCTACTTCCTGTCAGGTCATATGGAAAATGCAGCGACAAAAAGCAGGAGAGTAAAATAAATCTGGTCAGGAACCCTACTGACGATATCAATCAACTATTGGGTCATTTTACCAGAGGGGTAATATATGTGTAATATATGTAGAAATTAGTGGTTAACCGTGACTACAAGGGGTAGACCTTCAGTAAGGATGTAATATTGATGTCCTTCCAAGTGCTATTGTCGGTGATACCACAATGTCATCGTTTGATTTTGACACTTTCCTTCAGATTCAAAATTTAGTGTCTCGCTACTGGGAAGGGCTTCTGCTCTTTTTATCCATCTAGTACCACATCTGACTTGTGGTGTCATTTTACGCAGTCACTAGCAACAGCCTGAACATTAATGCCAACCCTACACTAAACAGAAAAAACTGTATGGACAACCCATCTGAACATATAACTTGAAGAAGTCCAAATTACCCAGAAGTACATGCAGTCCTCAGTCCTTTACATTCATGTGCAACATGTAATTTCATTAGTTCAGACTGAAGTTTAACAGCCACTGAATGCATGACAAAAATCTTCACATGGTCCAAATAAATAAAAAGTTTTGCAAGGCCTTTCCAAAGTACTGAGTTCCATGTTTAGGTCCCTCCCACTCTATATCAGCATTCTGATTGGTTAATTTTTCTATCAGTTATTCATCAAATTCATCCAGGAGAGACTTTGACTGAGCTCAGCCTTCTCTAACAACAATGAAGTCCTAACCAATGAGAGGGCCTTTTGTTTTTTTTGCCTGGTCAAAATTTTAAAATAATCTGATTGGATAACTGTATTTTCACAAATTAAATAAAAAAAATCTTGTTCAACTGCTAAGTAGTTTACAAATAAAAAGCAAAAAAAAAAAAACTAAATTGAAAATGTTTATTTTATATAAACTAAATAACTTAAAGTAAGGATGGGGCCAATCCGATCCGGTGTTGGTATCAGGCTCCGATGCAGCATAATTTAGGTATCGGAATCTTCCGATGCAACCTGCAGAGATTTCCGATCCATGATGCATGTCTGTCTCCAAGTAAAACGTCTCCTCGTGATTACCCGCCAGCTGCTCTACACGTTAGCTTGAAACTATGGAATGGATTTCCTGAATGGAGGCACGTCTCATGAGCCTAGAGTAACAAGACCCTCCTCACATTCAGGAAATCCATTTCATAGTTTGCAGCCAGCTAAAACGTGAGGACTGAGTTAGCAGCACTGTGGCTAACAGCTAACCAACTTTTCATCGAAACATGTCCGCTGTGTGGAAGTATTTTACACTAGAAACACTACAAAGCAAGACAGTAACGTGCAATGTCTGCAGAGCCATAGCGCCACATTAAATTGCGGTAAAGTTAGTTTTACGTTGGACATTCGAGCTCCGTTGCTTCAGCCGTGCGCTATTCTTGCTCAACCTGAAACAGGCAACTCGACCCCGTCCAGCCGCGCCAAATCTGCCCCGCTCAGTCTGCCCATCTCGGAGGAGGGACAGACCGAGCGCGGCTGACCGAGATCAGACTGCCTGCTTCGAATTGAACAAGAAGAAGACATTGCTGAAGCCCCGGAGCTCAAATGTTTACAGAGAAGTTGCTAAACTTCATCGTAATTAATGACCAACCACCATCAGTTGTAGAAAACGAAGGATTTCACAGCTTGATACTTGCAGCCAAGATATAGTTTACCCTCCAGGAGATATTTATCAGTACAACAGTAGACAATCACAAAAAAGAATATGAATTGAGAATTACAAGAAAATTATATAATAAAAAAAGAAACAAAAACAGCTACATAAAGTGATGTAAAATACTAAAAACAGGAACATGTCTGTGTTGGTTTATGCCATGAACTTAGCAGGTGTTTAAAGCCATTTAACATTTTATTTTATTTAATTCATTTATTCATTCATTTAAAAGAGACAAAATAAACAAAACAAATTCATCAAAAAGAAAACATTGAATGAAAAGCGTGCAGAAAGAAGCAAAAAAATCTTATCTGCCCCTTATTTAAAAAAATATAAAATAACTTTAAACAAGCACTGAAATTAATCACTTTAATATCCACTTTAAAACTAGGAATAAAACAAGAACACGTTCTGTGTTAGCAGAATTTAATTCTAACTTTAAAACTTATTCAACATTAATAAAACTTACCTCAAGTTGCCTTTTTGGACATGCATGCATAAATTTGTATAAATTGTACTTGAGTGGAGATTATTACAGCCTCATATAAAATCAATAATGATTATGATATTGAAAAGGGATTGGTATCGGCCGATATCCAGATTTAGGTATCGGGATCGAATCGGAAGTAAAAAAAAAAAAGTGGATCGGTGCGTCCCTAACTTAAAGTTCTAAATGTAACTTTTAATATGTGCTGAGTTCTTAGGCTTTCTCTGAAGGCATTGATGGTCCTGATGGGGTTCCCCCTGATTGAAATATATAAAAAGTGCACATTTGACCCAAGAAAAGATTTAGAATAGGAACAAGTTTGCATTACTTATTGAATGATACTCAAGCACTGTTAGTTGGGATCAAGTAAATATTTCGGTCCAGTTTTACTAATCAATAACATTTATTACAAGAAGAGGCCAAGAAAACACCCACCAAATTTATTTCTATAGCTGTAATGCCATTAATTTGAATTAATATCAAAATATAACCTGATATTTACTGATGAACAATAATTATATCTGATGCAATTAAGTGAGCTCACTGCCTGTTATGGATTTTGCTGTTTAGACATTAAGACATCCAGTAAACTATGCCTCTCAAGGATAAACCCAAGTGGTTTCTAATGGTTTTAGATAAAGGTTTTTTAGTTGTGGGAAAAATTATAAGGAAAAAATTCCCTGTTCGTGAGCTTGAATTGGCAGTGTTCATGAGCAGTGACTGTTGGATATGGGCACCAGTGACCCCTGCAACCCAGAAAGGGAGAAGTAGTTAAAGATGATGTATGGATGGGTGGATGGATGGATGGGTGGATGATGGATGAATGGATGCATGGATGGGTAGATGGATGAATGGATGGATGTGTGGATGGATGGATGATGATGATGGATGGATGATGGATGGGTGGATGGATGGATGATGATGGGTGGATGGATGGATGGATGGATGATGATGGATGGATAGGTGGATGGGGATGGATTATTGATGGATGACAGATGGATTGATGGATGGATTCAAGGATTCAAAGATTCAAGGTTCTTTATTTGTCATTTAGCACTACGTGTGGTACATGTGGTGGAACAAAATGGTGTACACAGGGTCCCAGTTACATCCAACAGAAGTATAAAATGTAAAATGAAAACAGTAATAACATCTAAGACATGAACTAAGAAAAACGTTAACTAAAAATACACTAAGCACTAGTAGTACAAAAACAATACGCAGAACAGCAGCACGAACATGAGTCTGTGTGAGCAGATGAGCACGCATGAACACATCAACATGAAACAGATCAGCAGCAACATGGATGGGTGATGATAAATGATGGATGGATGAATGATGGATGGGTGATAGATGGATGGGTGATAGATGGATGGTTGGATGATGATAGATGGGTGAAGGATGGATGGGTGATGGATGGATGGATACTGTGACATGTGTTACACTGGATCTTATGTGATATAGCTCACACAGTACAGTATGTACAATACAATTTCTAAAACTGCACAGCGTGAACAAGACTTGATATCTTTATCTTGTACGTATTTTGAAGAATCAAAACCCCAACATGCCAGGGCTCACCATACACTGAGAGCCCCTTTTCCAGCTGTTGCTAGGTTCACATAACAAATGCTTACCTGTGGAATGGCACCTTTGTTATCCAAATTAATATTTTACTGGAGCTATGTTCAAATGCTAGAATTCTTGTTATTGAAGAATTATTTATCCAGAATTAGTCAACTTACCAGATCACACATGCTCCTTTTTTTGCCTATTATCTTATCTCTTTTTATTTGTGTCGTGTGGACCTTGAAGATTTTTGTCACAGCTACAATTTATGAACATTGACTTGAAATGTATCCAACAAACAAATATCACATCAGATTTCTAACTGCTTCATTTATCAGAACCTACACCGACACCACATGGTGTACTTTGTCCATCAGAATTGTGGTGACCAGCAGAAAGCAAAGCAAGAAGACCAGAGGAGAGTTACACTGTGACTAATTGTGTGGTGGATTGCTACATGGATTAGTGTTAATATTCCCTCCTGTGGTATCTTGTTTTTATCATCAGGTGTATCTCCTTTGTGAATCGTTTTAAGTCTCCTTATCTTTGTCTTTGTTACCTCTTAACTCTTACTTTTATACCATCTCTATGTTATCTTGTTTTTATTTCCATCAACTGCAATGCTTTATGTTGTAGGTACCTTCTACGTCAGGCCATCAGCAGCCATCCAACTGAGGGAAACAGCAGATGGGGAAGATGACAAAGCAGAGGAAATACTGCATATCCACTCAGAAATTTCCTCTTCACTAAATCATGATCCACCACGTTCTCCCCTGCCCACCCATGAGCAACCCTTGAGCCAAGAAGTACAACTAGAACAACCCAAGCCAGCGCCTAACAAAAAGGCATTGGAGGGTCGGCATAGTCTTGAAGTAGTCAGGGTTGGAAAAGGTATTGGCATTGTAGCCAGCCAGGGTAGTGGAAGTAGAGACTCCAGTTACTACAGACCCATTCGAAGGGGATCCCCAAGATCCAATGCCCATGATCACTTTGACATCAATGAGCATCTTCCCTGGATGATAGTGCTGCTGCTCCTGCTGGTGTTAGTTGTGATTGTGGTGTGTAGTGTGAAGCGAAGCTCCAAGGTGTTGAAGAAGGGTCCAGTGCAGGACCCCAGCGACATCATTCAGAAGAAACCACCTGCACCTTTGACACAGGCCAGAGAGAAGTGGATCTACTACTCCAATGGACAAGGTAGGTCTTTGAACAAAACTGGACAGCTTGGATTCTGATTGGGCTTCTTCAACTAACAGCTCTGCACAAGCTGAGTTGATGAAAGCTAGCATTCTTCTTTAAAATACTGTACATTTACATTATATTTGCCCCCTGTCACTAAGTGGAGAGAGGGAATTGGAAATACCCTTCGTCTGTGTGTTCATTTGTCTGTGGGTTGTCACAAGATGGGGCGGCTGTGGCTGAGTGGTTAGAGCAGTCGTCCTCCAATGCAAGAGTTGGGAGTTCGAATCCACCAGCAGTCAGATGCCTAAGTGTCCCTGGGCAAGACACAGAACACCTCGTTGCCTCTGATGTGTCCCATCGGTGTCTGAATGTGATAAAGCTCTGATTAGTCTCTAGAATGATTTGTTCAATTAGCTTTGTAGAGATCTAGTAGAGTGCTGTATGAATGGGTAAATGAGGCACAGATTGTAGTGTAAAGCGCTTTAAGTATCTGGATAAGACAGAAAGGCGCTATATAAGTACAGTCCATTTACCATTTACAAGATGACTGCCACCATGTATGTCCATTTGTTTTGTGAGCTGGATAACTTGAAAAATAAGCAAACTGCTAACTTAAATTTTGTGTCTAGCTGCATTAAGGTGTAAGAGAAGGTCACTGTCAAAAACTGGGAACAAACTGGTGAAAAAAAAGGTGTATGTGTGTAAACTGGCCACCCATATCATTTGGGGAAACTATGCTTTCTGTTGAGTGGCACGGTGGCTCAGTTGGTAGAGCTGCCACCTCTCAACGAGAAGGTTGCCGGTTCAAATCCTGGCCAGCAGCAAACTGGCCAAACACTGGGTGGAGTTTGCATGTTCTCTCAGTGCATGCATGGGTTTTCTCCGGGTACTCCGGTTTCCTCCTACAGACCAAAAACATGCATGTTAGGTTGATTGAAAACTTTAAATTGTCCCTAGGTCAGAGTCAGAGTCAGAGATTCTTTGTCATTCGCATCTCATGTGGTACATGTGGTGGAACGAAATTATGTACACAGGGTCCCAGTTACATCCAACAATAAAATGTATAAGAAAAACAGTAATAACATCTAAGATATGAACTAAGAAAAACATCAACTAAATATACACTAAGCACTCATAACATTAAAACATTGAACATCAGCACAAACATGAACATGAGTCTGTGTGAGCGGATGTGCACGCATGAACACATCAACATTGAAACAGATCAGCAGCAACATGATATGGTTTTTCACATTGATTATTCTGGTTAGAGATTCATGAGTCTAACAGCCTCAGGGTAGAAGCTGTTCCTCAGTCTAGTGGTTCTACACTTAATGCTCCTCAACCTCCTTCCTGAGGGGAGTGGGGCAAAAAGTGTGTGTGCTGGGTGAGTGAGGTCCTTCATGATGCAGGTAGCCCTCTTCCTGCATCTAGAGGTGTAGATGTCTGTGATGGTGAGGAGGCTGACTCTGACAGTCTTCTGTGCAGCCTTCACCACTCTCTGCAAAGCTTTTCTTTCTGCAGCTGTGCAGCCTCCATGCCACACGTTGATGCTGGAGCACAGGATGCTCTCCACTGCACACCTGTAGAAGGAGGTGAGGACTGAGCTTCCCAGACCAGCTCGCCTCAGCCGTCTGAGGAAGTAGAGTCTCTGATGAGCTTTCTTGATCAGGCTGGTGGTGTTGTTGCTCCAGCTGAGGTTGTCATTCATGTGTACACCTAAGTACTTGTAGCTGGAGACCACTTCCACCGCAGATCGTCTTATGTTCAAGGGGGTGTAGATGTTTTTGTTCCTTCTGAAGTCCACAATCATCTCCACAATCAGGTGTGAGTGAGAGAGTGAATGGTTGTTTGTCTCATTTGTCTCTGTGTCCATGTGATGGACTGGAGACCGGTCCAGGGTGTCCCCTGCCTCTCGCACAGTGACTGCTGGATATGGGCACCAGTGACCCCTGCGACCCGAAAAGGAAGAAGCAGGTAAAGATAATGCATGGATGGAGGGATGGATGCTTTCTGTTTCTACAATTGCTCTCTGTGGTGTATAGCATTTTTTGTCAGGATCTGTCACTCTTCGCAGCTTCGGACAAGCAAAAAAATGAACAAACAAACAATTAAATAAATAACATAAAGCAAAAACACCTACCTTTATTCTTATACAGAATGTAACTCCTACCCACTTGAATATCTTGCATTAAAACATTAACGGTTACATTCCCTGTTCAATTCCAGCCCAGAAAACACCTCGAAAACTAAAAACATTCACTATTCAAACCCCTCAGCGATGGGGGACATCAAAGTACTGATTGTTCATTTTAATGAACTTGATGAAAACTTTTATTTATCAAAAGGCTTCAGTGGCTGTGGTTTTTTTTTGTCTTTACATGCATAATACGTCTTTCTTTCATGGAAGGTCATTAAGTCCTTGTTTCAAACAGACTGTTTCCGTTGTGTGATGACCTATTTTAGTTTAGTTGATGTAAAACCTTCTGCTGATGTGTTTGAACTGCTGTTACAATCAAATTCAATCAATTCTACCCCAAAGCATATGGAAAAGCAGTGGCTTCACAAACAAGGACATTAGGGCATGACCCTTTTGTAGAACCGCCATGGTGTCACTACCCAACTGCAATATGCAATGCACTCTCAGGTTCTCTTACAGATCCCAGCTCTCCAGTTTTATCTAAAAGCAAACGTCCTGTTCATTTTTGTCTTTATTGCATCTAAATAGGGAATATCAATTTCATCCGTTTGTCCATCTGTCTGTCTGTCTGTTCGTGCATGTTGGTAAATGGACTGTACTTATGTAGCACCTTTCTATCTTATCGAGATACTCAAAGTGCTTTACACTACAATCTGTGCCTTATTTACCCATTCATACAGCACTCTACTAGATCTCTACAAAGCTAACTGTACAAATCATTCTAAAGAGACTAATCAGAGCTTTATCACATTCATACACCGATAGGACACACATCGGAGGCAACGAAAGGTTCTGTGTCTTACCCAGGGACAATTCGGCATGTGACTGCTGGTGGATTCGAACTCCCAACTCTTGCACTGAAGGATGACTGTTCTAACCACTCAGCCACAGCCGCCCTGTCAGCATGACTGAATTTGAAAAATAAGCCAAGTAACAATTTCAATTTTGCTGTGAGCTACATCTAGACATAAGTAAAGTTCCTTTCTAAAACTGGGCTGTCACTTGAAAATACAAGATGGCCATTGCCATAAATGTACATATGTAAACCATGTCTGTTGTATAACTTGAAAATAAGCAACATGCCGACTTCCATTTTGGTGTGTAGCTGCATGTAGGTGTTAAAAGTGACAAGGATCATTGGCGTACTCCTTGCTTTTGGATATTTTCCATTCTTCTTTTTTAAACTCTGACATTTTGTCTGTGACATTTTTTTTTACTTACTTGAAAAACTTTTACTTACTTGAACAACTTAGCTTACTTTTTTACTTGACATTTTTTACCTGGTAAGATCTATTTGGGGGTACTGGAGAAACAAATCCGATCATTGGTTGAACCTCAGATCCAGGAGGAACAATTCCTGGCCATAGAACACTGGATCAGCTCTTTACCCTCACAAGGGTCCTCGAGGGGCTATGGGAGTTTTCCCATCCAGTCTACAGGTCCTTCTAAAAAAATTAGCATATTGTGATAAAGGTCATTATTTTCCATAATGTAATGATAAAAATGAAACTTTCATATATTTCAGATTCATTGCACACCAACTGAAATATTTCAGGTCTTTAATTGTTTTAATACTGATGATTATGGCATACAGCTCATGAAAACCCAAAATGCCTGTCCCAAAAAATTAGCATATCATGAAAAGGTTCTCTAAACAAGCTATTAACCTAACCATCTGAATCAACGACGTAACTCTAAACACCTGCAAAAGATTCCTGAGGCTTTTAAAAACTCCCAGCCTTGTTCATTACTCAAAACCGCAATCATGGGTAAGACTGCCGACCTGACTGCTGTCCAGAAGGCCATCATTGACACCCTCAAGCAAGAGGGTAAGACACAGAAAGAAATTGCTGAATGAATAGGCTGTTCCCAGAGTGCTGTATCAAGGCACCTCAGTGGGAAGTCTGTGGGAAGGGAAAAGTGTGGCAGAAAACGCTGCACAACGAGAAGAGGTGACCGGACCCTGAGGAGGATTGTGGAGAAGGGCCGATTCCAGACCTTGGGGGACCTGCGGAAGCAGTGGACTGAGTCTGGAGTAGAAACATCCAGAGCCACCGTGCACAGGCGTGTGCAGGAAATGGGCTACAGGTGCCGCATTCCCCAGGTCAAGCCACTTTTGAACCAGAAACAGCGGCAGAAGCGCCTGACCTGGGCTACAGAGAAGCAGCACTGGACTGTTGCTCAGTGGTCCAAAGTACTTTTTTCGGATGAAAGCAAATTTTGCATGTCATTCGGAAATCAAGGTGCCAGAGTCTGGAGGAAGACTGGGGAGAAGGAAATGCCAAAATGCCAGAAGTCCAGTGTGAAGCACCCACAGTCAGTGATGGTCTGGGGTGCCATGTCAGCTGCTGGTGTTGGTCCACTGTGTTTTATCAAGGGCAGGGTCAATGCAGCTAGCTATCAGGAGATTTTGGAGCACTTCATGCTTCCATCTGCTGAAAAGCTTTATGGAGATGAAGATTTCATTTTTCAGCACGACCTGGCACCTGCTCACAGTGCCAAAACCACTGGTAAATGGTTTACTGACCATGGTATTATTGTGCTCAATTGGCCTGCCAACTCTCCTGACCTGAACCCCATAGAGAACCTGTGGGATATTGTGAAGAGAAAGTTGAGAGACGCAAGACCCAACACTCTGGATGAGCTTAAGGCCGCTATCGAAGCATCCTGGGCCTCCATAACACCTCAGCAGTGCCACAGGCTGATTGCCTCCATGCCACACCACATTGAAGCAGTCATTCATGCAAAAGGATTCCCGACCAAGTATTGAGTGCATAACTGAACATGATTATTTGAAGGTTGGCGTTTTTTGTAT